CTCCTCCAGAAACTCATGACCACACTGTAACACAAAATGGACTTAGTATAATTTCAGAACCCCCCATTGCCTCTCACAGCCTCAAGAGTGTTTAAAACTCAAAAGTTCGAAGTCTCTTCTGAGACTCAAGGGATGCCATCTCTTAACTGTAGACTTTATAAAATCAAAACGCAAATTACTTACATCCAATGTATAATAACCCAGAATACACACTACTCTTCCAAATGGGAATTCTGTAACAAGATCAGAACTCAGCAGGGCAAACACAGTATCCTGTGGTTCCACATCTCATAATAAGGGCTTAGTTGCCTCTCCTCCTTGATTGTGCTGCCTATAATATACACCTTTCTCCTGGACTAGTTCCACCCGCTGTATGTAGTTCTCCCCTGGCTATGGAATCACCAAAATGGTGGTATCTTTGCTGCAATTTAGCCTTCACTTTCGGAGCTTCATGCAATGTGTCTCAGAGCCTCTTGCCTTCCCAAAGCCCTCATGCCGGACACCGCTCCCATTGCTTTCCTGGCCTTAGTAGCTCTCTGAAGCCAAGGAAGAAGAATTCATGACCCTTTCAGCCTTGCCTCTTCCAAGCATCTAAGACAGCACCATGTTGAGAAACCTGTTAAGTTTGGCTAAAACCTGGGATGGATCCTGCCTGGGGAGTCACATTAGGAGCTGCCTCGTTTGTTGTTGCCTTTCAAAAGCCCGTTCATTTCAGAATCTGGGAGCTTAGCTGGGTGGGGCCTCACCCTGTCCCAGGGCATTTTAGGCCTCTCCTTAATGGTGCTTTACTCCTTACCAATTGTAACCTGTTTCAGGCAGGCCTTGGCTGTAACATTACGAATGCTTTGTGTCTTGCCAAACGGTATTATTTTGGGTTTTTTTTTTTCTATCTAACATGTTCTCTTTTATTGTAGACCTGAAGAAGCATTAGCAATAAAAACCAGGCCACAGACTCAACTTAATGTAGTTCTGAATTTTTCTTCACCAAAGAAATTAATCTGTCACTTTTAAATTTAGCCTCAGCCAAGTTCTTAGGATAGAAACAGAAGGTGGTCAGATCCTTTGTCCAAACATCACAAGAATGGCTTCCAGACCAATCGCTGATATTCCTTCCCTCTGAACCCTCTGGAGCTGGGTCTCCACAGTCCTCATTGCTCTCTGTCTTTCAGGCCTTATTAGGATTACCTATTTAAAGTGTCCATCTGCTTTTCTAGTCCAGATTTCCACAGCCTTCCACATTCCTCCTCAAAGCAATGTGATCAAGTGCTTCACAGCAAGAGCCTACTCTCTGGTGCCAGATTCTGTGTTAGTCACTTCTCTGTTGCTATAACCAAAACCATGATCTAAAGCAGCTTATCGAAGAAAGAACTTATTTTGGCTTATAACTCCAGAGAAATAAAAGTCAATTACCACAGCTTCTCCCTCCCATTGCAGAGGCTGAGGATGAAGTTGGGTGCACTAGATTGCTGGGGTTTTCTGTTCTACCTTTTTTTTTCTTTTTTGAGACAGGGTTTCTCTGTAGCTTTGGAGCCTGTCCTGGAAGACCAGGCTGGCCTCGAACTCACAGAGATGTGCCTGCCTTTGCCTTCCAAGTGCTGGGATTAAAGGCATGTGCTGCCACCGCCCCGTTCCTGAAGTTTTCTTAGTCCCTTAACATGCCTCTCATTTTTATTTCTGGGAGCGAGCTATTTCTGACTGTGTAGCTTATATATTTTCATTTTCTTCTGTGAAAAACAAAATAGGGAACCGGGCAGTGGTGCGCATGCCTTTAATCCCAGCACTCGGGAGGCAGAGACAGGCGGATCTCTGTAAATTTGACACCAGCCTGCTCTACAAAAGCTAGTTCCAGGACAGGCTCCAAAGCTACAGAGAAATCCTGCCTCGAAAAACCAAAAAATAAAAACAAACAAAAAAAATAAATAAAATAGGGAAAAACCCATTTTTGCGGGGAGGGGGTTTCAAGACAGGCTTTGTGTAGCTCTGGCTGTCCTTGAACACACTCTGTAGACCAGGCTGACTTCAAACTTACAGATAGTTGCCTGCCTCTGCCTCCATGAGTGCTGGGGTTAAAGGCATGCGCCACCCTGCTCGGCAGAATCCAATTCCTTTTAATGTTTTAATTAAACAAACCAAGTAAAAAGTATTGATTCAAGGGAACTATGAGAACATCAAGCTAACAAAATAGACAAATCAAGGCATAATGATTTACAAAGTAAACCAATACTTAGGTTTGCAAATTTATATGTAACTTCAGAGGATTTTGTTTTTATTTTTTCTGACTGGAGGACACAAGTGTTTGGAAGACTTTTTCTCTACTGCTAAAGGTTCATTACGTAAAATGAGGCATTTATGCACTTTTGCAGCTGCTTCACACCACATAGATAAAACTCCCACTACTAGTTAAGCCAGTCGGACAACATTTGAGTCTTCAGAAGCCCTTTATTTTCCTCCAGGAGGAAGAGGCTGCTAACTAGGGAAGGGTGTCTTATCTTTCAGTAAAAGGAGGAGCAATCACACTGCATTTCAGGAGAAGTCAAATGAAATCTTTCAAGCAGAAACACGGTGACTACAATCTAACTCGCAATGCAACAGATTGCACTTACCTGGTGGAAGACCCCTCAACCCACAACCTCAGAACACGAATTTTCCTGTTAGCTGTGTGGGAAGTCTTTCCAGTCTTTAAGAATGTAAAAGTTAAGTGGTACGATATTTCATAAGAAAAACTTCATGGAGTGGAAGTATTTGTCATAAACTGCCTTTAGAGTATTGAGGAAGCTGGCCCTGCTACCACAGGCCTATAATCCTAGCTACTTGGGAGGCTGAGACAGAGGAATCAGGAGTTCAAGCCCAGCCCTGGACTACAAGGTACATTTAAGGCTCAGCTGGGCAATTTAAAAATAGAGCAGGGGTTATTTCAGTGCTCGTGCAGGGGGTCTTAGGTTCAGTCGCCAGTACCCATCCCCGCACAAAGAAGAGGGAAATGTTCCTACTAATCAGAAACTTAAAAGAATCAGGATTTTTATAAGCAACTAAAATTAAAATGGCTTTTGCCGAATCAGGAAAAAGATCTGTACAAAATCAATATTCCTTTCATGTTGAATTGATGGCCTGCACATTATTGAGAAGGTGAAAAATGAAGCCGTGGAGTTATCAAAAACATAGGACCCTGTCTTCTGACTCTGCAGCAGGGACACTGATTTCTTTTTTTGCTTTTTGCCCCCAGAAACAGAAGTTCCACAGAATTAAAAGATTTAAAATACCTTTCTTCCTCAGCTAGGAGCAACAAAATGAGTCCAGCCAGCCAGGAATGAGTCAGATGACTACACACACATAGTTGCCAGTGGTTTTGTTATTTTTTCCTTTTCCCATGGCCCTGGAAGGGCAAAAGTGGAGAAGCAACTGCAGCACTAGGTTTTGTTCCTTCTATAAACGGCAATACAACAGCTGCCACAGTTGTGTTAGGGCTACTCATGGACCCTCATCTTAACATCTGAACTCATCACAACCCCACTAGAATGTGCCTGAAAATACACCCAGGATTACCTTGTGAACGTCTCCTATGGAACTGGATAGTTTAACTTGATATTTTATTTCCATATTAAAACCAAAATATTTGCTGGGTGGAGATGGCACACGTCTTTAATCCCAGCGCTCGGGATGCAGGAGCAGGTGGTTCTCTTTGAGTTCGAGGCCAGCCTGGTCTACAGAGCTAGTGCCAGGACAGACTCCAAAGTGACACCGAAAAACCAAAACCAAACAAACAAAACAAACCAACAAAAACAAACATAATATTTACAGGAGAAATTTTGAGTTAAAAGGATACTGAGCTAGTAGTTTTTGTGGACAGATTTGTTTTGTGCATATGCAAATGCATGTGTATATACACACACACACACACACACACACACGCCACCGTGTGAGGTTAAGAGGACGGCTTGAAGGAGTTGGTTCTCCCCTGGCACACATGTGACACGTGAATCCCAGGGGTCAAATGAGGTCACCAAGCCTGGAGACAAGTGCTCTTATCATCTCACCTAGCCCTAGAAAGATTTCAATTAAACCAGATTGTTTGTCCTTTACTGCCTAGTCTACTTTCTAAGGAAGTTAGAGTGTCATTTAATTTTCTCATGGGTTTCACATTATCTCAAAAGTAAATCCGTTTTTCAGGACATGGGCAGCTTTTTAACTCAATAAAAAGTTGTACTGGGCTTCCTGGTGGTTTTCTTTTTCTTTCTTTTTCTTCTTTTTTTCATTCTAACGTGTATAGAAGGTTCTTAAGAAATCGAATTTGTTCAGGTCCTCTGGGTTCCAGTCAAAAGATAAGGCTCGAGCCAGGCAGGATTGCGTGTACACACACGCCCTTGGATAGGCTGACGCAAAAGAGGATGGAGAGGTGGGGGTCAGCCCGAGCCACATATATCGGGTTTCAGTGGGATGCTTTCTCAAACAAAACTTCAAAAAGTTAATCCAACACCGAAACTGACGAAAATTTAGTGCCTAGCATTTGTGTGCTCCTTGTGTTCCAGAAGCCTCGCCTGGCTTTGCTCATACAAAACTATGACAGGCAGGGCATTGCAAGGTGAGGTGACTTACGCAACGTGGCTAAGGACAAGGCAGACACTTCTGTGTTTGTACCTGCTGTCTAATCTCTGGAATTGTTGGGACTCCGGTGCCAGGAAAATCCTGGAACACAAACTAGGATGATGGGGGAACAAGGGCCCAGTTCTAATTTTGTCCCTCTGTCGGTTAAGAGGGTCACATCTCTTGAGGGTCACTCAGAACGCTGCTGGTTTTCTGAGGAATTTAAGGCCAAAGCCAGACTTAAAGAGCATGGTGGTGGTGCCTGAGGAATGTTAGAAATATGAGCTGTCTAGACCTGGGAGAAAAATCTTAATCCGTGACCCTTTGTACCTGTACACATTGCCGAGGCTGACGGAAAAGTAACCAGTTCAGCAAGAGACCCTCCAGTCCCCTTCAAACCTGGAACCCTGGTCCCCCGCAAGCCTGGCGCTAGGGGCTTGCACACACAAGCGCCTCCTCCAGCCTAAGGTGGCGCGGCGGTGGCAGCCGAGGCGCCCGCAGATAACCCCGGCACATCCGGCCTGGGGATCTTCCCCGGGGACTCGCACTGCCAGTGGCGCGCTCCTACTCCGAGCCGTGGGCCCCTCCCTGTCTCGCGCCTTGACAAGCCAGCAGCCTGCAAGGGGCGGCACCGCTCCGAGGTCCCGAGGACGTCACGGACGGGCGGTCGAGCCTCCAGCCCGCCCCCCGGCTCGCCTTCCCTTCCCTCCAGAGCCGGTGACGCCTCCGCGGCCCCGGCAACCGGCGCTCGCACACACTCCCGCGCGCTCCGCTTCTCCACCTCCTCCCGCGCCCGGGTCCGAAGATGGCGGCTCTCAAACTCCTGTCCTCCGGCCTCCGGCTCTGCACCTCCGGCCGCAGCTCGCGGGGAGCCTGGCACAAGGTAAATCGAAGGGGAAGAGGAAGGCCACGCGCGGGAAAAGCACGGACGAGCCGCGAGCGGCGCGCGCGTCCTCAGCCCTGTCCATCCCTTCCACCTCCAGCCGGGGACCGGGCATCCGCAGCGCTGTGACCCGGGCTCGGAGACGGTGGGGGTTTCAGGCTCGCCCAAGACACGGCTGTCTGCCTGTCTGTTTGTCCGTCTGTTATCTTTGCTTCTTCTATCCGTTTCCCCAATGGGGCGAGATGAAGGCAAGCAGGGCGTGCAGCGCTGGAGCAGTGGTCGGGGCTCTGTGCAGCGCTGCTGCGACTTGGGGGCTGCCCGCGCCCCTGGGGCTCGCCTCCCCCACCCACGTCCCCGCCTACGCCCTTGGGAAGGGTCCCCGTGGCGGCCTCCGCCCTAGAGACTGGGAGGGTTGAAGGAGCAGAGCGGGGAAGGGCGGCGCACCGAGGCTTGCGCCCCACCTGAGGGAGCTGCAGGCGTCGGCGCCGGCTGAGGCCCAGAACCCCCGACCGGGCTAACCGCTGCTGGCTCAAGTTCACCGCCTAGTGGGCGGATGCTGTGTGCGGCGGGGGCGGACTGCCGCTCCATCCTCCCCTTCCCTATATGGCGGTAGAAAGGGGAACCCGGACTGGAGCGCTCCGTCACGGGGCGCCTAGCCTGCCAAGCGGTTGGAAGTGGATGGAGGACTGGCTGTGCTCCGCTTCAGTCTGCTAACGCCGCCCTTGCTTACTTGGTGACCCCCAGATCCAGATTAGAGACATGCAATTTTCAAAGTCCTTAAAAAAATACCTTGAGCAATTACACTCCCACAGCTCCCCCGAGCTAGTACCCAGAGATGCCCTCCTAGCGGATCAGCGGGTGGTGGGTGGTTTTGCTGGTGCACTATCTTTTCTGTAAGCACACTTTCAGGTTGGGTTTCAGTGTGGGTCCAAGGAACTGAGTGCTGGACAAGAATTCAGCTCCAGGCAAGTGGCTTCACCATGGTGGGTTCAGTTTGCTCATGAACCTCTTCTTTGAACAAGAAAACGAAGTGTTTTATTTGGTGATGTTTCAGATTGTAGCTCTGAGCTGAAGAGTGCATTGCGCAGGGCACGTTCTTGCTCACTATGTGTATACTCTGAACCCTTTTCTTTCCCTGTTGCTCATTTTCTTGCTGGAGAAGTCATCAAGTTTCTCCCACATGTCCTAGGGAATGCTTCAGAACTGAAGTATTGCATTATTAAATTCCTCATGGGAGGCATTTTGGTAATTGCATATAGATTTAGTTAAATAAGACATTAAGAGAGAATTTGACCTTCTGCAAGTGATGGAGCAGAAGCCAAAACCAGGACACAGGGATGTCCTTGGGCCAAGGTCGAAAACATTCTTTTGGTAGTACGCGTTTGTCTGAGTATAATTTATTCACCTCTAGCCTACCCCACTTTCAATATAATCATTAAACCATTTCCCAACCCAGCACACCTCCAGGTGGATGAGCTATAATTATGGGTTTTTCTGTCTCTGATTAAAAGTTCGTGGCAGGGTTCAAAGTTAGGCTGTCTGGAGTATTCTCCCAGCTCCTGCATTGGTCTTGGGGCGTAGCACTTGGCACCCCACCTCTGTTGTACTGTGTAACTTTGGGACCTTGTTATAGGCCGGTTCTTTGTCTCCCTCAACATCACATACTGCTCCGTCAAAGAATACTCCTTTAATATGTGCACGAGATACCTGCGGGTAGCTTAAGTAACCTTGAATGTTTTCCAGCTAAAATATGGCCAACAGGTAAACCGAGATTGTTATTAAAAATGCTTTTATGTTTTTGTTTTGGGAAGCAGGATCTTACTATGTGGCCTAGGAAGGCTTGGCACCCATGATCCTTTTGCTTCAACTTGCAGAATGCTGTAATTACAGGTGTGGCCTTATTTACCATTGTCTGGCTTGAAAAAAGGAAAAAGAAGTGTTTCTTTCTTTCTTTGTTTATCTCCCCCTCCCCCATAGTGAGCAAGTTTGTTGTCTGAAACTTTAGCATGACTCAGGGTTGCCTGAAGACTTTTAAATCTGATTGCTGTGCCACCTCCAAGGTTTCTGATTTGGAAGGTACTAAGTGGACCCATTCACCCAGACCATGGATCGATTCCTCTTGGCAGAGATGCCACACTCTTCGTGCCAAGCTCATATGCTCCCATTCACCTTTTCCTCCTAACTGGTTTTCTTTGCCTCTTTCCGTGACTTCTCTTCCCCAGTTCTGTTTGCCAAACTTCGACACGAAGGTAGGCAATGACCTGTGTCATGATTTCTTCAACAGCACCGAGGTGACAACATTACCTCTTGGGTGTATAGTTCTCTATCATGAAGGTAATGCTTACATATATTTTTAAAAGTGTGTTTGGGGCCAGCAAGATGGATTGGCGGACAATGGCGTTTCATTAAGTCTGATAACCCATCTTTGATCTCTAGGACTTACATGGTAGAAGAGCGAACTGAAAGTTGTCCTCTCACCTCCACAGGGACACGGTGACACATCCCTTCCCTACCCAGATACAAACGTAAAGAACATAGTCAAAATCTAAAGCGTACTTTTAAAATGTGTTTGGTGTCTTTTCATCCCAAAGTGTAATTTCACTAAATTCTCAACTGTTGGGTGAAAAGGGAAAGAGATGTCGGGGAAAGAAGTAACAGTGGCAGTGAACAGCTAGAAAGGAAGTCATGAGATGAAGTTTAGGTTCAGTCGTGGAGTAAGAAAGATTCCAGAGGTTAGGCCAAAGGACATGATGAAGGTCAACATAGAGGATGAAGGGAGAAACGTTAAACAGAAAAGTATTTTCCACTCTTAAGGATTTTGTTTCTTTCATTAAAGTACCTAATCATTATGTTCCTCCCTCCCTTAATATCAAAAATTAGTATCACAACAAAATGGAGTTCTGCTGAAGGTAGGAGAGTAGAAAATAAGGTACTTTGTCACGAGAAGCTTATCCCCAGAATAAGTCCCCCACATTCCCTTAGGTACTGTGTGCAAACGCGAAAGTCGTTTATGTCTTTATTTATTTGGCACTGACACACAAACTTTTTCTCCCCAGGAATGATCTCATGAAGCCCAGGCTAGCATCAAACACTGTGTAACCAAGGCTGACCTTCAATTTCTGATCCTTTGGCTTCTAGTGCCGGGGTTGCCGGTGTCCTCCTGGGGCTCTCTAGGGCTTTGTTCAGGCGGTGCTGAGCAAGCCTTCCACCACCGAGTTTGTTTTTTCAAAACACCATTTAGGATATAGACTATATTGGACGGAAGAGGCTAACTAGGTAGCTTAAATAGCCTCTTTAGACTTGCCTACCTGAGGAGAAAAGGTAGATGTTATCAGAGATACACTTTTCCCCCAGTTGCCTAATCTTAGGAGGTGACTGCCAGGGACCTGGGTATTTCTTGTCTCTCAGAGACACAGTGTGAACAGGGAAGCAGGGGCAAAATGGGTGAGGAGGGCAAATTCAAAAGCCTCCAGTAAGGGGCTGTCTTTGCAGACCCTAAGGTGTTTCCTGGGCTTTGGGTTTTGAAGATTCTCTGTGGTACAGTTAGCCACGGGCATTGGGTTTCCTCAGTGCCCCACTGACTGCACCAGTTCCTGGCTTGCCAAGTCATCTCCGATTTTGCAGACCGGCAAACAGGATTGCTAATGAGATTAACGTATGGCTGGATAGTAGTGTGTGTTTGCTGTCCCAGCTGCTTGGGATTGAGGCAGGAGGATTGCTTAAGGATAGGACTTTGAGACTAGCCAGACCCACAGAGTGAGGTATTTGTAGTGAGGAGGATTAATTTTTTGCAACATTAATTGTAGCATGATGGTCATGTTGCAAATTTTCTGTATGAAATCATTGGTTGGGGAGAGGGCAGGCAGGGAGTGGTGAGGTTAAAAATTAAACTGCAATAAATGACAGCCTGGTTTTACTGTCTTAGCTGGGAATAGAAAAAAGGTGTCACTTCCCAAAGGTGAATGACATCCCTAGGAATTTCCTGTAGTCTGGCAGAGGGCTTCTTTTCTAACTGTATCATGGGAGAGAATGGACAGTTTTCATCTTTAGACACTGTGCAAGCTCCTCACCTGGCTTTGACCAAAAGTAGCACCTCTCTACAAAGGCACAGCCAGTGGTTAAATGATTCTGACACATTCGTTCAGTCTTGGTTGAACTGGAATTTGACACAAGGGTACTTTTGACCCCAGGAGTATGTGGCACGTTAGATCATACTGTCTCCCAGAATTGTTGGCTAATTTTCTGACACCATAAAAATGATTTATTGAAAGTTGATTTCTTGGAACTAGCTCTGGTGGTGCACGCCTTTAATCCCAGCACCCGGGAGGCAGAGGCAGGCGGATCTTTGTGAGTTTGAGCCAGCCTGGTCTACAAGAGCTAGTTCCAGGACAGGCTCCAAAGCTACAGAGAAACCCTTTCTTGAAAAACCACAAAAAGCTGATTTCTTAATAAATAGTACATAAATATTAAATGCCAATAAAGCATACATTGACAAATATTAATTCGTATGAATAATGAAAAAAATCAAATGCTTATGAAGTTCCTTATGATCTTAGGCTCATATTACATTCCCTGGAAATATGTCACTTTACTGTTTGTTTTTAAGATTTTACTTTTATGTAGGTCTCTGTGTGTCATGAGTTTGTATGCATGCATGTGTGCCTGCTGAGCATCCCTTGGAACTACAGTGACAGACTTTGGATCCCTCAGAACTATAGTCGCAGACAGTTGTGAGCGCCACCTGATGGTCTCACAAGCATACCATCTGCAAGCCATCTCTCCAGCCTACCTTACTGAGTGTTGAATTTTGGCCGTATGGGTACATTCCTAACAACCTCCCACATCAGTTGAACCCAGGGTCCTTTGCTTACTAGGAAAGCATTTTGCTACTGAACTACATCTTCAGAGCCACTTCCACCTTTTCTAAAATATTTCTGGCAGGTTTCTTTCCTTTCTCTTTTTCCTTCTTTTCTTTCTTTCTTTTTTTCAGAGTGGGGAAAGCTGCTGGGTAATTAGTGCTGATGGTAATTAGTGCTGTGACAATACTAATTACCAGCTACTACAAAAGGATGGGGTTCGTGCCCTGTGGCTCTGTGCTTTGAAGGCTTTGGGGGTACACAGGGGAACTGAATCCTCCTTCCGCAGGCTCTCTGTGGAATTCCACAGAGAAGCATTTCAAGGTGACCTCACCTTTCAGCCTGTCTGGGTGTAGATGAATGCTTCCATTTTCTTCCGGATCCTGCTGAGGCCTGGACTCTTTATTCTGAGACAGAGATAATGACAGCAGAGTTACACATTACAGAACAGGACTCTCATAAAGATTTGTTGTGTGTAAATAACAAGGCAGAGCAATAGAGGATCTCTAGAAAACATGGACAAACACCTTGTGGTGGAAGGACCATGTGACAGGAAGCTGGGACCCAAGTCTGCCACTCAGTCTTTACCAAAGTTTTGAGTATATTGCATCCACAAGTTTAGTGTGGAATACTCTTATGTCCTACATATTCAATCTATGAAACTTTTTTTAAAAAGATTTTTTAAAATTGTGTTTGTGTGTGTATTTGTGTGTGTATGTGTCTGTGTGTATTTGTGTCAGCATAGGCTAGAAGCATCAGATCCTCTGGAGCTGGAGTTACAAGCAGTTGTGAGCTGCCCAACATTGTCTTGGCAAGAGCAGCAGATGCTCTTACCCATTAAGCCCTCTCTCCAGCCCTCTGGTCTTGTATTTTGAGACTGAATCACATGCTGTTTGTTTCCCAGGCTAACCTGTAACTTGTTACGTAGTTCAGGCTAGCAATCATTCTGCGTCAGCCTCCTCTGGGCTGGAATTATAGGGCCAGCATGTGTGTATTCAATCTTTCAGACTTTTTATTTCTGAGACCTAAACTAACTCCACCCCCCTGTCGTGTGTGTGTGTGTGTGTGTGTGTGTGTGTGTGTGCGCGTGCGTGCATGCGTGCGTGCGTGTGTGTGTTTAAAACAGAAGCAAATAAAATCTTACTTGTGAGACCAGGAAAGGAAGAAACTTCTTTGTGGTTAAGTCCTTCAGAGTCCTTGTCCTTCCCTCTGCTTATGTCCCAGGCTTTGGGCAGTGCTCAAGCTCCTCACCTGACCATGACCAAAATAGAAACTTGAAGGGACAAAAGTCATGTGACCATGTGTGTCACCTCAACCTTTTTAGCACGCATTCGACTTTCTCTGTGTGGACCCTTTACATGGTCTTTTGTACTAATTGACAGGTACTTAAAAAAATGAAAGTAGTTTCTGGAGGAAAGAAAGAATGCTAGTTCTTGCCCACCTCAGGTTGTGGCTGTTTGCAGTTCCGTCGGGGAGTCGAGTGGGTGTGTCTTTCTGGCCAGGCTTGTTAAAATGGCAGTATATCGGGGTTCAGCTGTTATTCTCCCCACTTCCTCTTTCTTCGGGTTAAACACATAATGGAAATAAAGCATGGCATTGTTAATATGGGCCATTAGTTACCATAGAATCGATTGCCTCCTTTTCCCTTGCCCATATTGTGGATGGAGCCTACAGGGCAATAACTTACACCTGGTTTCATGAATGATCGCTGGATGACTCATTTGAGGTCCATATTGCTCACTATAACAGACACCTGAGACTGGGTACTTATAAAAGAAGTTCATATAGCTCGTAGTTAGATGGAGACCCACAGCCCACAGTTTGGTGACTGTATCTGGCGAGAGCATTGTGCTGCTTTACAACACTGCGGAGGAGCAGAGGGACAAGCGGCTGTGCAGGATAGGCAGCCTCGCTTAGGAAAAGCCTGGCTGTGACGGCCAGCAATTCCGTGCAGCAAGAGCGGAAACTTGCTGGCTCCTCCAAGGAGGAAGCCGGTCGCATTCATGCCTATACACAGGCTCACACTCCTCCATGAAAGTCCTACCGCTTCTCAACAGTGTTGACACGGGGACCCGGTTCTGATGTGGACTGAGGAGGTGACAACCCCGCTACAGATCGTAGTGTGCCCAGTTAGTTCTCCTCCCTGTCGTGATAGTTTGCTGCTTTGCCTTCAGCTTCTGGGACAGCGGCACAGGGGAGTGAGCCCTCTGGCGTGCTGCTCCTCACTTGTCTCCTTAGAGTTCTCCCAGCACTTAGGACTGACCACACTGTACTTCCCCAGAGAGCCGTAGTCCTACCATAGAGTGGATAAATGGCACAGAACTTGGTGCAGGTAGGTTCTCAGTATTTATCAGCTGACTAGAAAACTAGGTTACTGTGAGAGATGGGTGACTGAGCACACATTGTGGATTTATATCCCAGTATATGATGCGAGTTCTCTACTTTTTTAAAAAACATTTTCTTTCGACTTTTTTTTGTAGCTTTGGAGCCTGTCCTAGAACGCTCTCTGTAAATCAGGCTGTCCTTGAACTCACAGAGATCCACCTGCCTCTGCCTTCCAAGTGCTGGGGTTAAAGGTGTACGCCACCACTGCCCGGCAAGCTATCTACTTTTATTCTTTTGGGTGGTGGTCGTGTGAGCCAGCTGGACCTTCCGCCATGTAATAGAAGATGTAGATCACAAGGTACCCTGGTGAGAACCTGTCAGTAGGGCATGTCCATCCTGTCAAAGATAAACCATTTAACGCCCAACTCTTGACAGATAGAGTTGTATCAGAGAAGCAAAGTAAAATGACATCACAGAGGTTAGAAAGTGAAGGAGTTGGGAAAATGTCGGTCAAAGGACACTACGTTTCAGCTTGATCAGAGAAGTAACTTAGGAAATGTGTTCTATGCCTGGTGATGAGCAGTAGCCATCCTGGAAAACTCTGGAGCAGTTGTGAAATATTCTTACCACAAAGAGTGATGTGAAGTGATGCTGTGTGAGAAAGCTCCAGTTAGTCATTTTGTAATGTCTACGTGTATCGGAATGTGATGCTATCTACCGTAAACATATTGTGCTTGTTAATTAAAAACACAAAGATGCTAAAAGGATTAATGAAGTTATCACATAGAGATATACATATATGCACACACACACATGTATCTACACGTCTATGGAATCATTTGTTTCTTGTGTAAAGTGAAGCTGCAAATGATCGTTCACTGGAAATGTTTTTAACGTTCCAGGGGTGTGTCCGCTACTTTTCTGTCAGTACCCGTCGCCACACCAAATTTTACACAGATCCGGTGGAAGCTGTCAAAGATATCCCTAATGGTGCAACCTTGCTGGTTGGCGGTAAGTAAAGGCACGCCGGCTTTCCTTTCGAGGGTCGCGTGACAGAGCTGTAGAGATCCAAAGCCCCAGTTCTTCTGTCATTTACCTCTTACTCACTCGCTGTCCTTTCCATGACATGCGTGACACTCTGTTCCAGTCTCTTCCTGAGAGATGCCGCTGCACGTTTTTACCTGAGAAGCTGGAGGTTCATGTGCTAGTGTCTTATCAAGAGTTGTGATGGGGGGCTGGAGAGATGGCTCAGTGGTTAAGAGTACTGACTGCTCCTCCCGGGGACCCGGGTTCAGTTCCCAGCACCCACATGGCAGCTCACAACTGTCTGAAGATCCAGTTGCAGGGGATCTGATACCTTCACACCAATGCACATAAAATAAAATCAATAAGCCATAAAAAATATTTAAAAAAAAAAGTTGTGATGGATCCCTGAATCCCTGGGAATGCTGGTGAACTTGAAACACGTGCCTCATCTCGTCAGTTACTCTAGCCCAGTGGCTTTCAGCCTATGGGTTGTGACCCTTTTACAGGGTCGCCTAAGAACATTGGAAACCACAGATATTGACGTTATGATTCATAACTATTAAAATTAAAATTATGAAGTAGCAATGAAATCATTTTATGGTTGAGGTCACGACAACATGAGGAACTGTATTATAGGGTTGCAGCCTTAGGAAGGTTGAGAACCACTGCTCCAATCACTCTGTATTGCTCCTGATTTGTTGAGCTGAAGAGCATAGGACTCTGTCATTGAGTCTCATCCCCCCCCACCCCCATATTCTGTTTCTGCTACTTCTTTGGGATGTCTTTTGTGATCACTGCCTCAGACTTAATTACACTTAACTTCCTGATCCTTATACATAGAATCAAGACTTATTTTACGGCTGGTCTTTGTTTATTCATTCAAATTGGGAAGTTATTGAATGTCCATCTTAAATCCTATACTCTTGGAATAACTTTAAAGATCTATGAAATGAAAGTTATTAGCTTAGGGTTCTAGTTCTGTAAAATACACTAACTCAGATGTATAAAAATACGTGCTTAAATAAACAACTGGATATGGTTTGTATTATGAAGGGGGATAATAGTACACATGTCATATATAAACTGATTACGTTTGGCCTTAACTTGTTCAAAGCCTTGACAATGGTGTCTGGTGATATGTAATGGTTTGAAACTTTGAGATCTGGTAATATGACTGATGGCTCTTTAGTGAATTGATAAGGTATAGTTGTGTATTTTGCTTATTATGTTTAACAAAATGCTTTGTGACTCTTCTCTTTTATTGAGAATAATAACAGATGTATCTTGAAAGAACATTACCTCTGCACAGATGGTTTCCCTGTTGGGTTTTGTAGGTTTTGGGCTGTGTGGAATCCCAGAAAATCTTATAGGCGCTTTATTGAAGACGGGAGTGAAGGATCTAACTGCAGTCAGCAACAATGCGGGGTGAGTGGATCTCTGAAACGATTAGCTAGAAAGAAATGCTAGTTTAAAAATTACCTGAAAAGTTCATCAGTTTCAAGTGGTCAGTCCTAAGCATGTGTATACCCAAGGAACACCAAATGGACTCAGTAGGATCTCCCTCTCTCTCTCTCTCTCTCTCTCTCTCTCTATCTCTATCTCTCATCTATCTATGTATCTGTAACAGTTTCAGAAGAAGAGGTCATAAATCCAAGATGGAGTATGGGGAGGGGAAAGGAGAAGTTGGATGGGGGTGGTGGTAGAAGTAACGTAAATAGTGTATTCATATATAAAATTATCAAAGCATATAAAAAGTCTATAAATGAAATTAAATTTGCCTCCATTTATAAGAGTAATCTCTTCAATCCTCAAAAGAGAGTGGCAAAGTAGATATGGTGGCACATGCTTGCAATTTCATCACTGAGTAATCTGGGGATGATAATACATTCAGTACCAGCATGATCTGTTTGCCAAGCAGTGAGACTCACCTCTCACAGAACAGGAAAGTTGGTCATGAGGTCAAGAATGGAAGGTCATAGTTTTGTTTTTGTTTCTTAACTTGTAGCACTGTGATTGAACTTAGGACCCTGGGCATGCTAGGCAAGTGCTCTACCTCTGAGCTATATCTCAACCTTCTTTTTCACTAAATCTCGCAGCCTATTCCTGGACTTTCTCTGTATCCTAGGGAGCTTGGATTAAAGAGATCATAATTAATGAGTTTCCTAACTCAGCCTTCGAAGCAGGTGGAATTGTAGGCCTATGCCATCAGGCCCAACCAAGTTACACTTTGATGCCATGTTTCATAATCATAAGAAAAGACACTTCGTTTTGCCTGCCTTAAATAAATATGTAAACTAATGGCTTATATCTTTATCTGATTTACTTTTTTTAAATGTAAAATATATGTAAAACAATTGTAAAGAAAGTCAGAATAAAAAAAATTTAAAGATGGTCTTTTATGCTCTTTGGTATTATAGGCCATTATGTATAAAGCAAGTCAGACATCAATTTGAAATCCATTTCAAGTTTTTTTCTTTTGATTTTATCATTCCTCCAGATACTATATAAAGAAAACTGTAGATCATCAAAAATGTTGCTGGTCTTGATGGGATATGAAGGACATGCTATCAGTTTAGCAGTAGGATTGTAGGACAAAGTGGTCATAAAAAGCCATTGTTTTAAAAAGGCATGCTCATGTTGGGACATGTAGTGATGTCAGAAAAAGCTATCTGTATGCAAAGTGGTAAGTCATTGGCACCCTTTCAACAAATGGATGAAGACTTTAAGAATCTTAAGATGTTTTGAATTAGCAAGCTGGCTTATTATACAGGCTTTGAGAATAAACAGCACAGATTATCTTGGAAGAGAGTGATGGAAAGAGATCATTATTTTATGTAAGGACTGTCAAAGTCTCAGAAATGCTTACCTTGTGTTGCATGACACTTGTCATGGGGAGGTGTGAACAAATGTCTCCTCCATCCGGGTAGGGGAGTGAAGGTGGACCAGACTGATGATACCACTGACATCTAGCTTGATGAACCGGAGAGTTTATTGGAGTTACTTACGGGAATATGGGTAGGGTTACTTACCAGAGCATAGACCATTTAAAGGTATCCACAAAAGTGCATTGCAGCGTGGGTGTTGACTCATGGGAGTTGGAGCCCTGGAGTGCTCTCCCTGACTTGCAGAGAGCCCTACAGGTTGGAGAATCTTTTCAACAGTCCTTACTAATATAACCTTGGGGTGGGAGGGGCCAAGTGAACCTGGTAAATTTCAGGAACTCCTTGAGACTTGTGAGGTTTTTTTTTTTTTTTTTTTTTTTTTTCCTGGGCCTTAATAGGTCTCTTTAAAACTTCCTTCATTTTAATGAGCTTCCTTCCAGCATGGAGTCTTTCAGTCCAGAGGAGGTTGCTATATATAACACTTTTGTTTGATGTATTAAGTGTTAGCCTTGATGAGAAAAATGCTGCTGAAGGATCACCCTTCTGAATATTTGATATTGTTGATTAAAAGGTTGAAAAAGCTGAGAATTCAATGATTTTTTTGATGAACTTTGTGTGAAACCAGTGTAAACCAAAACTTTCACAGTAAACTGTATGTCAACCATTTAACTCCAGAGCCAAAAGAAAAATGGATGTATTATGATTTACATGCTACTTTCTTCCAGACAAGTATTTTGGGTTATAGATGTAAAAAAATGGGATCTAGAAGACTCCTTGCTTATATGTGGATGCTTCATACTACTAGATAATCCTTAAGTATGTGTACTTCTGATTTCTTGTACATTGTACTAGTTAGGTACAGAATAATTTTGAGGGTGCAGTGAGTAGTAGTCCCTACTTGAAATAAACATTCTAGTTGTTTGCCGGTGTCTTCAAACCTAGAATGAAAAGGATGTGGACTTTGTGCTGTGCCCTGTTCCTTTTCTGTTTTTACAGCCACAGCTCTGGTGACCTCACTGAGCCGATACTGGCCATGCTGTCTTGACTGTGAGCATTCTGTAGGGTTTTGTTATTTGCCTTGGGAAGGTCTAATGATGTCCTGAGATGCATACTTATGTTCATGTGCTTAGTTCATGGAAGGTTTTATTTGTACCGTGGTTGACTGAACCTTACATCCAAATATAGCATTTTCCTTTATTTTGTATTTCTGATAATTATAAATTGTATGACTGAGATTAAAACATGAAATGAAAGCAAAGGAAATAAAGTTTCCCCAATACTTATATTCTTAAAATGATTATTGCCAATAAGTGAGATTTTAGAAAATAGATATTTGAGATTGTTTTGTTGTTATAGTTGTTGGTTTCTTTTTGATTAATTTTCTTTTAATCTCTCTATTTATTCTTTGCATCTTTCACATCATGCATTTTCAGCCTATTCATTTCCCTGTCCCTTCATATCTGCCCTTGCAATCCACCCCAAAATACAATACAATTTAAGAGAAAAAGACAAAAGAAAAGAAAAAAGAAAGGAAAGAAATCTCATCATGGAAGCCATAGACACAGTGAGTTACACAGTAAACCCTCATATCCACATATCTTTACTTGCAAGTGTTATTGTAAAGAGTTGTTGGTCTGGTTAGAGGCCTCTGGTTTCTGCTACACTATCGATGCTGGACCCTCACTGGGACTTCTCTTGGATAGCCTGTTGTTGTTCTGGATCTCCTGTCATGGAGATCCTGAAGCTTGGGGTCTGCAGGCCTGATCCCTTCACGTGCTCCAGCAGATCACAGGTGGGGTGGATGTTGGGGTGGGTCAACTCAGCCTTGGTTCTGGATTTGAGTAGTTGCAGGGTTGGTCAGCCCACCAGCTTTCCCCTTTCCTCACCACCGAGATGAACTCTCCAGCATTTCCCACAACTGCTCCCAGCTCATCTCTTGCAGCAATGAGCAGGGGTGGGACCAGTTCTAGTCTGATGCCCAGGCAAGGTGCAGGGGCCACCCACCCCAGTGCTTCAGCTGACGAGGGGCAGGAGCAGCTCTCCTATTCTTATTACCTCAGCTCTCCCACTCCTCACAGGCAGTGATGGGTAGAGTGCATCTCTCCCCCACCCACACCATATAGCAGATGAGGGACGGTGTAGTAATAGGAGCGGCGGGGCTGTGTCCCCAGCACCCCGGCCGCCTGGCTAGCTTATGCCCCGAAATAACAACACACAAATTGTATTCATTTAAACACTGCTTGGCCCTTTAGCTCTAGCCCTTACTGGCTAATTCTGATGTCCTGATCAACCCATCTCTAATAATCTGTGAGCACCGGTCTTAGTGAGCACCAGTCTTACCCGGAAGATTCTAGCCTACGTCCATCCTGGGTCAGAGCTTCATCGCGTGTGTCTGCCTGGGAGCGGGACATGGTGTCTCTGCTCCAGCGAGCAGAGCTGTTGAGTCTGAGCTCACTTCCTCTTCCTCCCAGCATTCTGTTCTGTTTACTCCTCCCACCTATGTTTTAACCTATGAGGGCCAAGCAGTTTCTTTATTGCTTAACCAGTGAAATCAACAGATTGATATATGACACTCCCACATCAGGACGGTACAGACCTTCCATGGTCATGGTCTCAGGCCGGTTCACCCGTACCCCTTTCAATAGGGTCAGCTCTGCTCTGATGCCCAGGCAAGGTGCAGGGCCCACTTTCTTGAGTGCTGTAGCTGGTAGGGGGAAGAGATGGCTCTGCTTTTAAAGGCTAAGCTCACAACCAAAATTATAAAGCTTTTCTTTTCTTCTTCTGTTTAAGACTGGGTTTTGCTGTGTAGTCTTGGCTGTTCTAGAACTCGCTCTGTAGACCAGGCTGGCACTGAACTCAGGGATCCACCTGCCTCTGCCTCCCGAGTGCTCGGATCAAAGGTGCCACCACGTCTGTCTTCAAGAATTTAAATTTCAGATTCAGAAATGAAATATTTTCAGAAGGTAGATGCCTTTTATGCAATATTCATTTTGGTTTACATCTCTATAGATTACTGGCTTTAGAGTTCTTTTTATTATTATTTTATAAATAATGCCATTCAAAATTTCCACTTTCTCCTCTCCTCCCACTTCCCTCCCCCCCTCACCCTTTCCCCTCCTCCTCCAGTCCTAAGAGAGGGCTGGGTACCCTGCCCTGTGGGAAGTCCAAGGCCTTTCCCACTCCATCCAGGCCTAGGAAGGTATGCATCTAAATAGACTAGGATCCCAAAAAGCCAGTACATGCAGTAGAGACAAATCCCAGTGCCATTATCCTTGGCTTCTCAGTCTGCCCCAATTGTCAGCCACATTCGGATGGTCCAGTTTGATCCGCATGCTCGTTCAGTCCCAGTCCAGCTGGATTTGGTGAGATCCCATTACACATCAGGCACACTGTCTCAGTGGGTGGACCAACCCCCTTGTGGTCCTGACTTCCTTGCTCATATTCTCCCTACTTCTGCTCTTCAACTGGACCTTGGGAGCTCAGTCCAGTGCTCTGATGTGGGTCTCTGTCTCTATTTCCATCTGTCACCAGATGAAGGTTCTA